ACGAGAAAGGCGAGGCTTCTAAACGATATAAAAAACAAATGCCAAGGGGTATGATGTATGATGGTGATTGCCAACAGGGAAGAGGTTGAAAGAGAGAAAAGCGGAATGGTTATTCTCGCAAAACACGTGTTGAAATACCGATCTTCATGCAAGGGTTTCTCAGACCATGCCCACGGATCCAAAGAAGGTATTCCATTACATATGCCCGGTTTACTGAAGAGGGAAGTTTGGAGTGCCGATCGGTCACTTCCACGCCATTATCCACATGTCACCGATGCAAATCCACCGTTACCAGTTGGATGGGACACGGACTACTCATGAAGTCATGTCATCGGAGAAGAGGACGAATTGTTGGTCGTTTCCCTTCCAACTCGCCTTCTGTTGTATTAATGTACGGTGTTTAGGGCAAGGCGAGGGTTTGATACGGAGCAAGGGGTGAGGGTTAAGAAAAAATAAGCAGAGAGGGAGAGACGGAGAGGCATCGAATGGTTGAAGGCTGTGGTCGGGGCTTCCTCCGCAGATTCCCAATAGCCCTGAGGAGTTTGGGAGATGGCCACGAGTGGAAGGGTTCACGACCCGGTTTGGTAAAGGACTAGTCACGATTGAGGTGGTATGTTGTGGTAGATATGTGAGTTTCAGGACATCAAGCAAGCACGTAATGTCGTTCGGGCTCCATTCGGCCTTCAGAACGCGGAATGTAATATCGGTAGGGCTCGCGCGGGGTTTTCGCCGGTCGGGACCCACGAGGATCGCGGTCCCGGAGGGGAGGTGGGATGATGGACACCAGAAGACTGTGAGCGAAGTGAGAGTCTGTGAATGAGAGTGGGAGATGTGAGTGGGAAATGTGATTTGACATGTATGCCATATGAGTTGTCTCGATTCACACTGCCACTCATCGCCAACCGAAAACGAGCGCTCTTCTCTCTTTCTGCCTAGAGGTTTCGTTCTGCCGAAGAGGGATGGCGATTCAATATGACATGCCCGATCTGTGATGGCAAGTCGACGGAAGGCCTTTGAATGATTCCATTCTTCAGGAAGGTGCACCCGAGAAAGACGATTTGCGTACAGGGCATGGTACGGATGAGGTCCGTTAGGGTACCAGCACGTCGGTTCTGATTCCGTTGGGTCGCCTAGCAAGCTACTTGCCGGTCTATTCCACTTCATTTTTGCCCTGATCAAGATGATGTCTGGACATAGCCAGTCGGGCAGAGGGATGATGTGTGCGTGTCAAAACCGGTATGGTGTTTGCAAGAATGCAAATTAGGGAGGAGTCAGGCCTGGGTCTCTGCTGGAGCCGGGCTCCCGGGGATGGCGTTGTGGGCTGTGATGGGCTGGTATGGGTTGGGATGGGTCTCGACAAAGACACCATGACAAACGAGGTATGCCAAGCGAAGTCTCTTGATGGGCGCAGGAGATGGAAACCGTAGCCGGTGTACAGTGCACACCACCTAGGCCCGAGTTATGTCACGAAATGAGAGAACTCGACGATGAACAACAGGGACATAGCATGTAGCGAAGCAGCGACCTCGCCGGGTTTTGGGGGACTTTCTGCCCATATTTGGATTAGTGCAACAAGTGAGACGGGGCGAGGGAATATATAAAGTTTTTTTTTTTTTTTTTGTGGTGGTCATGTTGTGCATTGTTTGCATATGCTGTACACGTGCCGATGTGTGTACATGATACGGTGGAGAAGGCACAGCGACAACTTGCATGCTGCACACGTGTCAACATCGTGGTTTTCAGTGAAGGGTGGTGAAGCTATTGGGTGGTTCCAGTCAAGCAATCCACCCCGACCGATTGTAACTATAGTGTAGTGCCGTGCATATCCCACCGCGTACTGCCTCCATGTGTGAGCCAGAATGAGTGGTTGTGCAAGCGGACAGTATGGCCGGATGTAAAGCACAGCTGTTGGATGGACTGCTACCGGCCGCCGCCAGTTTGCCCCGATAGTTCGCTGCGAACTGTTTGCTGTTTTTAGATAGACTGTGTGCTCTGCGAATGAAGGGTCGCAGCGAACGTGATGGCGATCGTTTTTTCGTTCCGTGCTGACGCGAGATGCATGCTTTCGCGGAACTGTGTTCTCTGGCATTACCAGAGTGCCGGGTCTCTCTTTTTGATGGACGCTGAACAGCACCAAGCGGAACAGGGCCGTCCAGGTTCGGATCTTTCTCCGATGCATTTTGTGTTTCCAGAAGGTGACAAGATGTCGTGAGGAATTCTAACGGCCCGGTGGTGTGTGACGAGGCCTGCTGAGGTTACATGTACCTGCATGAGAGATTCGGTTCCTGTCTGACAGCCGGGATACCGCTGAGGAGCCTTGCCTGTTCCTGGCCGTGGCGCCTACTCAGGACCCCTGTTCCTGAAGTTTACTGGAGTTTCACTGGAGTTGCGCTGGAGCTCATTGCTCTCGATCCGGCCAACTGGAAGTCTTCCCGGAGACAGGTGGCTTGCTTGCAGGGGGTCTGATTTTGTCCGGATCGCTGGAACCAGACGGGGGGGCCGCAAACCTCGCTCATGGTCGACCATTTGGGCAGTTCCAGACAGTCCATAACAGTGCTCTCTTACGGCCGTCGCTGTCTAGCAGTTGCCTACCTACCCAGATTCAGCGTCATGGCCAGTGCAGTGCAGTAGAGATAGCAAAGGTACGTAGAATCGTGTCGGGAAAGGATCGCGATGTTCCGTGCACCGCGGGGGAGAGAGAGGATCCTTTCGGTTCCGGGCTTGGAGCTTGGTTGGGGGAGCAAAGACCTTGGGTGGAGCTCGACGCTCCGCTGGCCTCCGCTGCGTCAATTTCCCAGCGCAGCACGACACTGGACAGCGCTGCCCTTTTGGCCCAGGATCCGCTGGCGACATCCAGAGCAACTTTGTTTTAGCGCCCGATCGGGCTTATTTCAGTCGTTGCTTGGTCGCTCCAGACCCTCTGTGACCCTCTTGTCCTTGACTCTCCTCGGACGGGCCTCAACGGTTGGTGATCAGCCCATGTCGGGAACCCTCGAGTGTGGTCGGTCGTTGGTACGAGTTCTGAAAAGCGTAGCGCTCGGCAAGTCGAAGTCTTGTTGTCGAGTTCGACATGTAGTGTAATCCACCAGCACCCTGGGCAGAGACGGGGCAGAGAGTAAAAAGTTTTCTAGGCGGCCAGTCGGGTCCAATAAAGGTCCCATCGATACTGCAACCATGATTGCGCTTCATTGCGGCGCCGTCGCTGCTTCTGGACAACGGCCGATCAAATAGAAGGATTGTGCGTTCTGCAGGCGATAAGGGGCCCGTCACACTCCATTTCGTCACTCGGTTGCATCTTGACACTCGGCTGGTGGAAACTGGGCGTCGAAACTCTGAAGGTGTCGAGGTATGTCATAATATCCAGCGAAACCGAAGCTCAACCGAAGGGTCCAGGTGTCTGTCTGGCTGTTTCCAGGTTCACAGCCCAAGGGAACTCGAAAACTCTGAGCGAACGTCCTCCCGCTGCTTTCCCGTACTTACCTACCAATCCCAGGGGTAGGTAATATGTAGGTCCACTCGATCCCATTCAGCAGACATTCCCGCACAAAAGAAGGCAAGGGAATGCTGCAGCAAAATGCAGGCACCGACCGTGTCTGAGAGACCCGCCTGCTGTGCGTGATGAGACTGCTTTGCGACTGCTCGCGCACTGCACGGACTGTCAGCTGGAGATTCGTGCCCTGAACTGTGGGCTGTCGCAGTAGGTCAGTGGGGTGGCCCAAGCTTCTTCAGGGAAGCTCCCGCCTTCGAACGTACCCCGGTGCCACACCAGTGCCCTCTTGCTCGCGCCCACACTAAGAGGAAGGTACTGGACTTCTAGGTTCTGGGCTGCGCCCACTCGCTGCACTGGGCAGCAGGGCCGGGCAGGTTGGACACTAGGTACCATCGAACCTCCCGTCGTCAAGGTCCGCGCCCAGGTTCACTCCCAGGCCCCCCCTCCCCTTTTGCAGGCCGTCAGTCCCCATACCATCCCCATCCATCATCCCATCCCATGTCTGTTTCTGTGGAGGTCCATGTGACCGTCTCATTGCATTTAGTTTCTTTCATTCCTCGTCGTTTTGATTTTTTTTTACCAGAGCGCTTTGCGAGTTTTGAAAACAAAAGGTCTCGGTGTCCGTTCTTCTGCATTTCAACTCCAAAAGCCCCGAGTCGAGGTCCCAACATCGACTTCGTTCGTTCCTCCTCTCCACTCCTAACCAGTCGCTCGTTCAACTGATTCGTCAACTTAACTCAACCAAACCACACTTCGGACCCGACCCTCGTTCGCAATCCATCTTTATCAGCAAGGCCGGCCGGCATACCTAGGTATCAAGCAGAGACCTACTGGACGGGAATCATATCTTAGTACTATCACCTACAACCTACTAGGTAATACACATATCCTTACCTTCCTATTACTGGCTTAATCGTTACACTATCGCCCGACACCTGCCACTGCACCTCTGCAGCGCTGCAACAATACCCCACGGGCGATACCAGACGGCGAGAATCCATTACTACAACTTGGTCCTCGGAGCCTCCCATTGCTCCAATCCGAACCAATCTGTCTTGTCGATCTGGTGCAACCCCATCCCATGCATGCTCCCGCGATCCTCCTCCTCCACCTTTATCATCTCTAGGCGCATGGCTCTTGTCATACGCCTCGATAACCAGCCATAGCCAGTGTCTAACAGCCAATCAGCAGCCCTGGACCCCGCTAATTGCGCACTCCCATTCCGAGCTACGCCCTCAGAGTGCAACCAGAGTGCAACACCGACATCGAGACAGCCATAGGAAGTGGCCGACTACCGACTGCGTCCACCAGGAGCCAACCGCATCACTTCACCAGTCACCACCGAGCAGCAGAAATGGGTCTGTTTTCGCGGAGGGATAAGGCGCCGAAGACGGAGGCGCCGGTCCTGAGCGCCTCGCAGTCAAAATCCTCCCTCACCTCGGGTTCGTCCAGCATCAAGTCTCCCGGATTTTCCACTTCTCGCATCCTAAACCGAACATCAGCCGCCACCATGAGCAGCAATCCAGGAACACCACCCTTCTCTCCCGGTCTCAACCCCGGCGTCCCCCGGATCGACATCCCCAGGCCCCCCGACCCGCAGCTCGACCCTGTCGGATACCTCAGGAGCTTGGGCGCTGTCCGCGAGCGCTGCAAGATCGTCACCGAGAAGGCCCTGCGCAATGAGCTCAACCACTTTGATGTCGACATGCACAAGTTTGACGATGTAGTCACTTTTGTTGCCAACATCATCAAGGTTAGTCGACTTCCCTCCTGCTGTTGTAAAGACCTGACGTTGGCTGTGCGGGGTACCCTGCGGTGCGGTGTGGTGTGGTGTGGGTGCCAGTGCGACCCTCGAGGAAGTTGCGACAGCGCACCGACATGAACCCCCAGTTGTGGGACAGGCACACTGCGCATGGGTACATTATGGATAGATAACTAACACTCCGCGATACAGAGAGACTATGACGCCCCCTTCACATCCATTCCCGGCCACGGCCGTCACCAGCACTTCGCCATCGGCGGGCGCGACCGCATCGCTCACCTCCTGTCCACATTCCCTGAGGATGTTGACAACACGGAAAAGTGCAAGCGCATGATCGATCTGTTCCTTGTCAGTGTATTGCTGGACGCCGGTGCCGGCACCCAGTGGAGCTACAAGAGCAACGAGAATGGCCGTATCTATAGGCGATCTGAAGGCATTGCCGTTGCTAGTTTGGAGATGTTTAAGACCGTAAGTTGGTTGAAATCCGGTTTAGGTAGACTCTCGTGAGTGCGTTGGGCTGACATAAACATCAGGGTCTGTTTTCTGGTAACAAGAACAACAAGTACCAGGTCGACAAGGAGGGCTTGGCGAATCTAACCGTCGACAAGCTCGCCCAGGGGTTGCAGTCTGGACCAGGTAACGAGATGGCTGGCATCGAAGGCCGCGCTCAGCTCCTTATTCGGTTGGGCCAGGCTTTGGAGGAGAAGACCGAGTTCTTCGGCGCGGACGGACGGCCTGGAAACATGCTGGACCACATTCTCGACCACCCCTCGACACAAGCGACCAACGGCTTGATTGTTCCCCTTCCCGTCTTGTGGAACGTCCTCATGAGCGGCCTTGCTCCTGTCTGGCCACCATCGAGGACTGCCATCAACGGTGTTTCTTTGGGCGACGCCTGGCCCTGCAGCTCCATGCCTCAGCCGGCTCAGTCGCCATCTAGTCCGACCTTTTCTCCTTTCCCCAACACTTCTGGCCAGTCCAACGGCGTCGCGCCTTGGGAAAGCATTCTTCCCTTCCACAAGCTTACCCAGTGGCTTACCTACTCGCTCATGCAGCCCATGCAGAGCATCATGAAGATCCAGTTTGCGGGCCAGGAGCTTCTTACTGGTCTTCCCGAGTATCGCAACGGCGGTCTGTTCATTGACCTCGGCGTCCTTACACTGAAGAAGGAGGATATGGACCGCGGCTTGGCGCATTACACCTCATACTGCGATCGCACCGGCACTAAGGAGAACGAAGTGGCACCCATGTTTGAGCCCAGTGATGATGTTATTGTGGAGTGGAGAGGCGTCACTGTTGGCTTCCTCGACAAGCTTTGTGTTGAGGTCAACAAGGCCTTGGAAAAGGAGCTGCAGGGTAACGAGCTTACCCTTGCTCAAATGCTAGAGGCTGGCAGCTGGAAGGTGAGTTCGGCCCCTATTGTTGTGTCTAGTTTTCGAATCTTGATGCTAACTACTATCGCTTTATAGGGTGGCCGTGAAATTGCCGAAGTCAGCCGACCAAACACTAAGGAACCGCCTATCCTAATCGATAGTGACGGCACCGTATTTTAGGAGAAACGGGACTCAGTCCTGATATGGAATGCTTTGTTTTTTTGAATCACACAAATGGAAAGAAGAAGAAAACGAAATCAAGTTCAGGATTACTCTGGACTACATACCGAATAGCCTGACCACCAAAAACAAAGTCTTGGGGGTCAGTATGTATATTGCCGAATTGCTATGTCGGGCATGGTACGAGCCGGCAAAAGGTGTTATGATGTTACGAGAGGAACTTTGGCTGGGAATCGTTCTGGTTGGGGGTGGTTTAGTCTAGTTTGGTCTAGCAACTTGTTGTCCGCATTGCCATCGTCGTCTTCGATGACTGCATTACTGTTACCATTATTCTGGTTTTCGGTCAATACCTGCCGCGCATGAACTGGTTTGTAATATGCGTTTTGATGCAGTACTGTACAAGTTTGTCCTTTATTTCTTGAATGGATCTCGGTTGTCTTGAAAACAGGTCGTCGTGTTGTCCACGTGTGCTAGTAACCTCGTGAATATATTGCCATCCTTTGGTTCTTACCGTAGGCCACCGTCGTTCGCACCGTCTTGCGGGATCGACGCAGTCCAATCGACCATTGACGCATAGTGATCGGGTCATATACACCAGATTGACTATCTCCGGCCCCTTACCCAGGCCACACGGCTGGGAAATTCATGCAGCCACACTGTCACAGCTTGAACAACGGTGGCGAACGACACTTTGGCATCCTATACCAACGGCTGATAAGGTTACATTACAGATGCCAAACCCGATGGTAGGTAGGTGGAGGGGGTAAATGCGAGTGATGACCATCCCTATACACTGAATGGCCTGGCTGGCTGGGCCAGTGTTAGTAAAGCTAGAGTAAACCCGGTTGGAAGCGCATCAAGTTCACCACACCTCTCACTAATCTGTGGTAGTTGAGGGGGGAATGTTAAGGCAGATGTGAAGGTATTCGACGAGTAGAAGAAGGCTAACTATAGATGGACATTAGTTGAATACACAATAGTATCAAGTCTCCTACCTGTACCGTCGTCGTGCATGTTGGAGTGATGCGGTTATAAACAGAGAAAAAAAGAGAAAGAAAAAAAAGACTGACAAGAAAGCAAAAACTCCAGAGCTCCTGTCCGTCTTACAAAATACGATTATGCCCCTTCTGTACTTAATGGCGTTAGCTTCGAAGGAAACGCATCCCCTCTCCATTCAACAGTCTTGAACGAATAATCTACGGTGCCGCCATCCCAGACATAGAGACAGTCTTTTCCGCTTTTCCCACAGCTAAGTAGTCTCCAACCCTTAGCGATTCCACCCATCTAGCATCATTGTCCCTGTGCCATTATCACCGACTAGACCGTCTCAGCCCTTTTTGGTCTCCGCTTCTATACCAGGGGGTTTGTTCATTTCCAAAGGGGAACGTTCTGGGACGCGAAGACTGGGCTCCTTTGGTGGCGTTGGTGTTGAGCAGGCTGTTTATGTTTATAGGCGGGTTAATGGACCGTGTAGCTTTTTGGTCTTTTTTCTTCCTTTCTTTCTTTTGCCTTCTGTGGAAGACAAAAGTGGCATGAAGATTGGAATGTGTCTAAAATGTACTACTAGACTGGTATACAATCTTCTACTATATAGAGATACTCTCCCTCATCATCACCAAGATATCCATCCTACTCTTATACATTCGCATCCTGTCCTACCAACACACGCGATATCCCATCGATCTGATCCTGGGAGTTGTGATCGCCACGAACGGAAGATGGGCTTTGTACACGCTTGTAACTGCTTGCGATCAAATGTTGAGGCACAATATTGTAGCAGCCAGCGACAATCACCGAAGAAAGTAGAAGGTATTGTTGCTAGAGTAGGGGAAGTAGGTCCTTCTGCTTTCGGGTAGATACTATCAAGGCCGATGACTAAGGTGAGAGATCAACAAAAGAGGAAGGGCTTATAGAGTTAGCTGATTATATACAACTTCCAGCCAGAGCAGATTGGATGAAGCGGACATGATGGAGGTAGAGCAACTGTCAAGGAAAAACACCAAAAAGGATGTAATAAATATCAATGTCGTAGAGCGTGACGTCGCTCCGCTCGTGTTTGAGCAACGCATCGTGGAGATCGGAGACATTGATTATCAAGCCTGTTACTCTTTGTGTAAAAATATCGAACTCATCTAAGCTAAATTTATTTTAATTATCTATTTTTGCAAGAATCAACTATTCTTCAAAACTATTCACGAACCTAGCTCGTTACGCATCAAACAGGGAGTTAGGGATGAATTGAAGCGCAAAGAAAGATCATCAACACACCTGCGTACCAGTTGGAAAAAAAAACACATAGGAAAGAAAGAACGACAACCAACATTTGCAAAGCCCCTACCTACTACCTACCTAGTCAAGAGAAAGAAGGACCAACCCATCATATTATTAGAAAAAGAAAGAGATAAAAAGGAAGGTAAAAAAAAGCCTGTTGGCAAAAAAGATGCGGTTTGTGTGGATCGAACACACGACCTTCAGATTTATGAGTGAAGTGGACTTCAGTCTGACGCTCTCCCAACTGAGCTAAACCCGCTTATTATGCATTACTAGGTAAATCACTCCCTATCAACTCATCTCCCTTGAGTCAGTGCGGAATTTTAGCACTCGAGAATCGAAGATGACGGCAAAAGCCTTGCTCAACTCTAGATTTTCACTAATCCAACCGAGCGCTATCAGGCTTTTTCCTGTCTTCTAATATGCTTTTATCTTGTAACGCTAGTCTATCTTTAGCCATCTACCCTCCCCTGATGCTTTTCTCTATCCCACGCAAGGAAGGTTATGTGAAATGTGTAGAGTGTCATGACTGTAGCACTTGTTGTCCGCTTTGCCATACATTCGCGTGTTCATGCACTTGCGCTCATCCGTTCATTGCCTCAGGTAGTCAACTCCAAACTGAAAACCAACAGAGTGCAACCGGGGCTCAGGAAGAGCGCGGAAGAGAATGGTAGGCAGAATATGTGAAAGTAAGAAGGAAACGGAGATCGAAAACCGACGTCTAGACATAGACCCGTTTTCTTCTTCACATTTTCGAGTGACTGGAGAAAACGAGGAGGAAAAAGCAGCCCCTAACATGGCCCAGTGAAGGGTGTCAGAAGAAGCGAGTAAAAAGAGCTGTAAGCATTTCGCTGAAAAGTTGACTCATGTGCAAACGAAGTACGAGCATATACAGAAATCCGACAAAAAGAATTAAAAAATCTGAAACAAAAACATTCCCGCCACCCCAGATCGCATTTTTTCTCCCAATAACGCCCCTTATTTTTGTGTTCTCGTACTCCATAGTCGCTGAACCGATATCATGAAGATCCTTTTTGCCATCAGCAGTCGCCGTCCTGTTTAACAGTGCACCGAAACCCCGTCTCATCTTGTGCTCAGATCCGAAATCGTGGAGATATATGCCGAAACTAAGATTGAAAGATATCATGGAGGGAAGGGGAAATAGTAACCATGAATGATGGTGTACTTGCACAAGCTCAGGCGGCGTAGTATGCACTTGCGTAACTTTGGTGGAGCTTGCGCAAATAGCCCTGCCATAGGCGGTCGATGAGGATCAAGGGGCTTATTTGATTGAGACCAAATAAAAGTTTAATGGAAAAGAGGTCGGTAACGGTCAGCCGTTGTAGTCACCTCATTGTCAAGCAGTTGCCAGCTGCATCTACTGACGATCAGCTGTGTTTCCACACTCATATCCCCATATCAGCTTCGATAACCGTTGGGTCCTGACGCTCCGTAAGTGCCGCCTTACGCGGTCTTGGGAGGTGTCTGCATCCACGTGGGCAGAGCCTTCCATCCAGCGGCATTGGCATCGAGCTTCACGCGGCCAAAATGCTCATCAAGATCCAGCAGGATCTTGAGGGCATTGCGTGACCTCGTGTACGGGCTGTCACCGCCCACGGAATCTTTCACCATGGACACAGCATCAGCGACGCCCGCGTGCATCTTCTCCGCCTTCTGTCCGGGATACGGCAGAACACTCTGGAGGAGCTCATAAGCGGCAAGGGTGAAACCGAATTGCGGCGAGGAGCGGAAAATACGGGCAGGACCACCCTTGAAGAAGGCCCGGAAGCCTTCTTCCTTCCAGATGGTCTTGGCAGCATGCCTGAGACCGGTATACTGCGTGTCGCCCTTGCGGGCCTCGACCTGCAGACGAGTCTTGATGACGTCGCAGGGTGTCGTAAGGTAAGCAGCGGGCATACCGGCAATGGCGCCGGCCGTAAGAAGCTGCAGAACGCCCAGCTTCTTGGTCTTTGACTCGCCGAAAAGGTCCTTCTTTAAGTGTGAGTAAGTTGGGAAGTAGATAGCCGAAAAGGGAACGTCGCGGAGCAAGCAAGCAGAGGCGCCCTTGTACAATCCAACCAGGCCCAAGTTACGGACGATCCACATGGCAGAGCGCTTAGGAGCGCCCTCGACACTCTTAGCAACCTCACCCTGGACCTGCAATCTGATTTTGACAATTTCCAGGGGATTGGTAAAAACCTAACGCACAAGCAAACAGTTAGTATTCTCAACAGCGAAAGCCAGGCACACAGAATATTTTAAGAAGACTTACAACTTGGCAACCACCGGCAGTACCACCAGCAATGATCTCATGGATCACGGAGATATTGCCCTGCTTATCAGTAAAGGCGCCACGAACGAGATCGTTGACGGTAAGCTTGATGGCCTTCTCAGGGGCGACACCAACAAGCTGGGGCAGAACACCCGAGTAAAGACCCCTGAAACCCTCGTTGCGAATGACTTTTCTAAAGCAGTCGATGGAGTTGTCATAGAGTCTGCTACCGGGCGAGGCACCTCTCTGGTTCTGCATTCTTGTTTTGACCAGATCAATGGGATAGACCATGAATGCACCAAAGGCGCCTGACAAACTGCCCAGAATGAAGTTGTAAGCCGACTCTCCCGCCCGGTGGGCAAACTGCTGACCCTTTGTCTGCACAGCTTGGGGCAGAAGTCTTGCCTCGGCCTCGTGACGGTTTCTCCATGAAGGATCAAGGACCTTTGCGAAATCCTCAAGACCAAGTCTGCCTGAGGGGTTACCAACACTCGCAAAGTGGAACAGAATATCCGCCTCCATGGGAGTGAAGAGGGAAAAGCGGGTGATCTTTGCAGCCTGGTTGAGAAATTCAGTGCGAGTAATCTTGCCATCCTGACTCTTGCCGCAAGCCTTACGGATTATGAGCTCGACTAGATCCATTTCCTTGATTATGTTTTGAAATGCCCTAACGTTCGCATACGAGACCTTACTGCCCTGGGAGATGTTGCAAAGAGTGTTGAGGTTTTCGAGGAGGTGATCAGACAGCTTGTGCTTCGAGGTCTCCATGATGATTCGCTCGAAGTCCCCGGGTTCGATGAAGCCGTCCCCATCCTTGTCGAAGAGCTGGAACGCCTGGCGAATGCGCTCGCCTTGTAGGCCACGGAGCATTTGCGAAAATTGTTGGTAGTCCAAGTTGTGTCTCTTGGTCTTGCTTCCGATGTAGAGTTTGGCCCATTCGCAGTCCCAATCGAATGGGATGCTATTCGGGCCCTTGTTGAGCTCGTAAAGACGACGGAAGTCATCATACTTGACTGTGCCGAGGCGCTCAACGTCGAACAGGCGGAATGCAATTTCATACTCGGCATCGGGCTTCTCGAGCAGGTTCTCGAAGTATGTCCAGTCGGAAAGGGTCACCTTTCCTTTATTGGCTCGGTCGGCGACGCTGAAAAGGATGCTGTACTGTTCGCGCTTGATTTTGTGCTGTATAGAAAGAAGGCGCGCGCGGGTCAGCCAGTGAGTCGCAAACTGAGGGCAAAGTGAGGATCTCTTGAGGTGTGACTCACATAGTCTTCGTGAGGGGGAGCCACGGCATCAATAAACTGATCGGGTCCCAAGAAAAGTTCACCCGTCTCGGAGTCCTGAACAGCGTAGTGGGTGAAGCGCGCCTTGGTCTGAGCAGTAGGCTGCACCTGGTCGGCGGCGGCATGCTCATTGGAGCCGATGAGGGTCTCCTTGACCGCTTCCTTAACAACCGCTGCTGTGGACATGGCGACTGTGTGTGGTAGTGAAGCGCTCTACGCGGTACGCGGACAGGCTGAGTACTTTGTACAAGTAGAGAGCAGGTATGCGACGCAGGGGACGATCTTGTGCGCGAAGAGTCAAAGCTTTGCGTCTGTCAAGGTTGCGGGCTTGCGGCTGGTGAAATGCGTCGCGAATTGTCGCACACGCACTGGGGTTGCACTTCTCAGTGGTCGGCGCGAGTGGGGTCTCAGGGAATCGGATCTGGGGTCCCGGATGGGGTTGCGAGAATTCTCGAGGCTGGAGACGAACGGGCGAGCCAGAGGAGGGACGGAGAGGGCGACAGCGCTGTGGACTCGGGGAGGTGCAGGCCGATCTCGGGATATATCGCAGGCGGACCGCCGGCCGTAGCGGATACGGAGCCAGTTTTTTTTTTGTTGGATACGATGTGACGGCAGCCCAATGCGACGGAGCGACGGTTGGATGGCCCACGGCGGGGAAGAGGGGGATCGCTGGCGAAGACTGCCCCCAGTAAACAAACCCCGGTCGGGATCGAAGAAAAAACGGAACTCGTCACGCGGCTATCCTGCGGATGACAGCTGCGGCCAAAAGTGCGCTTTTACCTCTCTAGAGTCTGGGACACGACGAAACTGAGCACTCAGAGACCTGACACGGCTACGAACACATCGACTTTGCCTCTTCAACTGCAAGAGTGATGAAGGAAGTATGACTGTTACTATAATTACTAGGATGATGTTCCAGAACGAGCGTGAGATGTGTACACGTGTAGAAGAGAGTGAGATGTGGAGTGGTTGTCGTGGGGGGTGGGGACCTCTAAAGATGCGAAGGCGATCGCGTAATGTAGCGAGTGGTCAACGAAAAAGAAGAAAAAAGAGAAGAATTGAGCAGACGAAAATTTCAGTTCAGTATGTAGTATGGTACAGTGTACAAGAACTGCATGGCCGAGACATCATCCCCTTTCTTGGCTTCAGATTAAGCCGAATAGTACCTAAAGGGTTCCTGCGGTGCCTTCCTCTGTTCCGAACCCGCGTTCCAATATGCGATTGCCCCTGCCGCCCCGAGATTTATTCATCACAGGTACCCTACCGTCGTCACACAATACCTTACGCACCGCGCACTTGTCCAGTACCCGCGTTCCAACTCCCGTTCCAAGCAGGAAGCTGCGGTCCAGGCCGGGCCGACAGGTCATTCGATGCGAGGTAGTGAATTTGGAGTTTGCGGTCCTTGCCAAGCAAATGCAACTTTTGAACATTAGGTAATGTTCAACCTCGAGGCGTGAGCGAAAGGAATCCACAAAGCTGAGAAATATCCACGACGGGAACTCCAGCCCGGGCAGCCCCAGTCCCGTCTCCATTCACGAAAGGTCCGCCTTGAGTCTAAAGGAAACCCCACTTCTAAACAATGACTCCATGGCCCCGGTGCCCCTGAACCCCGCCGTCCACTATCATCAACAATCCACTTTGTGATTTCATCGAACTTTGGCGCTGAGGATTTGTGATCATCCAATTCCACTCTTGATCGACCCGGTATTGCATGGACAATGACCAGGAATCCCATGATGACACATGTGATGGATGCCTTGGAAGCGCTGATTCATAGTCGAGTGGAAATAGTATAGGAATACTATCAACATCTTCGGACAGCCGAGATCGCACAATCACCACAAGCCCTGAATGGGCTGCCGACTTCCGCATTGCAGACGGGAACCTGACGCACCATAATTCGAGTGTTTTCTTTTCATCCGAAGTCTTCAATATCTGAACTTACCACTGTTTGCTTTATATATGGCTCAAAGGAGCATACGTTTTCATAAAATAACAACCTGCTAGGTGATATCATCTTCCCACTTGGGGTTGGAATGATTTGTCCTCCTCGAAATTAGAATTGAAAATCTGTTGTCAAAGCAGGCAGGTTTTCATCCACATTGACCATCTCTGGCACCAATGCATCATAGAAAGCGACGAATGACATAACTTGTCTTGTATATAGATTGGACTACCGATATTGGGCCGTGCTAATGCCATAGCTTAACTGATGTTTTGACTCTTCTTCTCTACTGGTAAAGTGCCTTGTCACTTATTGGAAGTGAAACCTTTTTCTCTTGGCCCAAAACGAGGCATATTAAAGAATCGAGCAGAGTACTCTAAGCGTCTTAAAACAAACATATAGAGAAAAGCACCCTTAACATGCTACCATGCCTTGCTCTCCTCCTCATGTCCTTAATGACGTTCATCCAGTTCCATTCGCCGTGCCTACCATTTTTGTGCCCAACTCATTGTGTGACTGACTTCTGTCAAGGCAAAGAATAAAAATGCAAAATGAATAGAAACGTGAACAACCATCCCTTTTGAGCAGCGCCGAGCTTTCACCTTTATCAGAAAGAGCAAAGATAAATAAAATAAGCTAGACATAAAAATGTCGGTAGAACTTGGAAGACCATGCACTCGCACTAAAGGCTGAAGCTCGTTGAAATATCATGTTCATTGTACCGACGCCATTCCATCTTGTCCATTTGTCGATCCATCCGTCCATTCGTCTCTGATATGAATCCCTGAAGCAGACGCCGTTCCAGTTTCCCTTTAGATGAGCCAACCCCCCCTTTTTTCCTTTTTTTTTTTTCTTTCTTTCCCTCCTCTTTTTCGCCTAGAATCTCAACCTGGTGTAAAAGCCGTCGAGACATTGCATGACGATTACCTCCAATATCGCGCCTGGAAGTTGGAGCCGTATGAATCTTGACCTCCTAAAACGCCGATGAATAGGAAAAAGAAAGGGGGCAATCTGCCCCATAACCTGCGGTGAAAATAACACTGCAAGGGCAAGTGAAAACGAAACCCACAATAGGTAAGCGGGTAAAATATGTCGTACTTCGTCGCTTCATCATCAAAGCTTTGTTTCCTTTTTTGTAGTCTTGTTGTTTACTTTGGCATGAATTTGGCACCGCCGGACCCGTGGAGTACCAAAGATTAGATCAGACAGTACCGAAAGAGTCTAGAATACGTAGTATCGGATGTCCGAAAGGAGAATATGCTATCCGCGGGCCCGGAGGTACGAAACAGGTGCTGCCGTCGTTGATGAAAGCAACGCCATAACTGGTTGTACATCTCCTTTAGTGGACATATTAAGAGGAAAGAGCCGCTATCGTTGCGGTCTCTTCCTAACAATGCAGTTGGTAATTCGCCCTTACGCCAGCATGTTCTTATTGACCAAGATGCATGCTAGGGCAAACGGGTGGAGGGCATGGTTGGGTCTATGATTGCGCACTGTCGCTGATAGAAGCGTTCGCTCGAAGCGGCAACACGAAACCTTTCGCAATTTTGCCTTCCACGAAAGTAGACGCGGACTTGAACCTCTGATGAGAGTACTTGTCGTATACCGCGCCGTGATGTTTGCGTGGTTCCTGGCAGCAGTCGAGGATGCTAATGATGAGTGGCCTCAATTGAGCCAGCGTATAGCCGGAAAAATGAACATGGGCATGTGTCTGTCATGTGTAAGCTTTCAATCAACCATGTCATGATAAAGAGGAGGACTTACCCATGGCCCTCTTTGCAGGAAAAAGCGGGAGAGGCAATGGGCACCGGCAGCAAGATAACTCGCAGGGCAGCCCACAAACCGCTCATCCATGATAGTCACTTCGAGCAAGTACTTTGCAAGAGTCCGAGTTTCCAAATCGTAGTCATCGGCTTTGCTAATGCGCCGAAGGAAGCTCATCGGGCCTGGCCAACCAAGTTCGAAGTTCAGCATGGTGAGCATGAACTTCTCTGCCTTTAGAATCTCCTCAACAGAGTATCCCTGATCCACCATGTACACAAGTTCCTGAATGGAAGGGCAGTTGATCTCCTCGTACTTGGCTGCGACGAAAATGGCAGTCGCGCCAACCAGTTGAAGCTTGCCCAGCGAAACAACCTTAACTGAAAGAAAGCGGTCGATGTAGTTCACGGTGAGAAAAAGGGTCTCCGGGAGAAGACTGAAGCGATGGTGAACCTGGACCAGCCAGTCCATGAGGACGGATCGCATGGACCACCGGATCTCGGTTTGGATGTCCATGTAGTGAGGATTTGGAAGCATCCGTTCCTGATGAAACGATTGGTTAGTGTCACAGTGATATTGGGAAAGCATCAGCGGGGTATCCTACCTCAAGCTCGCGCAAGTACTCAAAGATCTCGTCGCCGTACTCAGCTACCATGCTCACATCCCAATTCTCCTCCTCAACCTCTTCCTCCGTTTGATGCTCCAAAACCCATGCCTTCGCAATGTCAAGTTCCTTCTGGATGTCCGCGGTTGTTTTGGGCGCGACTAATGTGGTAGGTCCTCCTGTGGTATTGTCGCAATGAGATCGATAAGAATGGGCGGTGGTATATCCTTGGTCGTCGTAGAGGTCCTGATCGTCGTCGTCTTCAGAATACTCTTCGGGATCAGAGACGTTGGGGGGCAGTGGAAGGGCCCTGACTGGTTTCGAGGGCGCGAGTGGTGCGCCTTGAGGCATCGAGTCATAGCTGGCTTGGGCGATTGACATGTGATTTGCGTGGGCGATAGCTGCAGGATCGGTGTTCGCAGGAATATCGAGATCTCTGGATAATTGCTCGACCGCGTCCTCGTAAGACTCGGCGTAATCGGCATTTAAATCGTCGGGATCATCCACGTCATTCGGGTTCTCGTAATCGGGCACATATTTGCTCTGATTCCGGTGTAGGGTATGCTGCTGGTCCGACTTGAGTTGCGGTTGACTCTTGTAGTGGCGTGGGTCCTTGATATGCTTGTCGACCATCGCAACAAGATCATCAACTGACGAGGAAGTGGGCGCATGAGATGTGCTCTCCTCCTTGACTTTGTTGTCGCGGTATACGTTGGTCGTTTTCTTGACCGGTGCGGAGAGTTTGGCGATGGTATTGTGTGAGCGAATGCCACCGTATGCCCCGCTGGCGGCATGGGATGATAGGGGAGCCGTCGAGGAATACTTTTGGCCGTGTGATGCTGCCTTCGAGGTCGCCGTTGGCCGCACATAATGCTCCTCCACTGCCGAGCGGTTATTCTCCCTGCCATCCGACCGTAGGTCTCGAGTGCTGCTGGTTGTGACCATCGGTTTCACCCTGTTCTTCAACGAGTCCTTGTTCCCGCCGTCGGCTAGTGGCTTCGAGGTGTTGCTCTTGTCGAAGCAGGCAGCCCTCTTGGGTGGTGCGTTCAAGGTGCCGTTAACCGCCATCATTGCCTTGATCTTGCTGTCCGACCTCTTACTTTGGTGAATCGGATCGGCAGGTGGGATGTTCTCGTCGCCGTATCGAACGGGAGGAGCCCACAGATGACGCTGGGGCTGGATTGAAGGTATCAGTCAGTATACCGAGCAAACGAGAAATCAAATACGCATTCCCACTGCGTTGCTGAGGCGGTAGGAAGGCCTCCAATGATTTGCAGCAGGGAACGTAAATTGTCTGGCCTAGTTGGGATGTGTAATCTGTGATAACGGTGGTGATAACGAAGGTGTGGGGTGGAATACGAACTCGTCATCAGGAAGGAGAAAGACGACCTGATGGGGAAGTGTAGGTTTCGTCACGTACCTTTGCGTCCATCTTTAGGGAAATTACCAAAGAGATACGGGATGATGTTTTGCTGAATGGATGCCTGCGGGAACCTTGCGAGTTGGTAGTATTAAGGTAAAGGCTGGGTGACCTTGAACACGCGACGCGCTTGGCGTAGGTCGACGGCCAAAGTGATCCAGATGGCAAATAGCTGAAGTGGAAGTTATACCGAGTTCTGTTATAGACGACGAAGATGAAGCGTTGGTGCTGTTGGCTGGTGGCTATTGTTGGTGGAAACGACTGTGGGTTTAAAAAAGGACCTGTGAGCGCCGGCGAAGAAAGAACCGTCCTGCAGTCGAGCGCCTCGTTCTGTACGACACAAAACCAACGAAGTGGACGTCCGAGAGTGCAACTGAACTGAACGGAAGAGATGCGCCCAGTGCAGCAGACAGGAGATAGGTAGTGGCAGTGAGGGAATGCGTGTTGAAAGAGTTGAAAAGCACGACCCGCGACTCGGGACTTGATATCCCTCCAGGACAGGCGAGACTGGTGAGACTGGTCGGCGCAACAAGTCCAAATTGACCAGAGTCGTTTCAGTTGAAGCCGGCTTGCACCAACCTGAAGAAGGAAGGGGAACAGGCGATTCACGGGCAGGGTCGCAGGGCGAAGATTACCACGGTGGAGCTGCGTGCCGTAACCGTAACCGTAACGCTCACTTCACCTCGACCTGCACGTGAAATATGCGCATAAAGTCGAATGAGAGAATATGAGAAAAAAGAAAAGTCCGACTTCAACGTCCGAACGAGCGACTGATTAAAGAATGGATGCGCATGCTATTTTGGCTGTGTCGGTGCGCTGCGATCCTCGGGCTGCAGTGCTTGCTCCACGATGCGAGGTTGTGTATGTCGCAAAAAGGAAGACGAATCGGGCGTGACAGGCTTGACAAGGTGGTTGGGAAAGGGTCCGGGCAAGTGCTGGGGTTTGTTGTGGGCGAACTTCTTTTCAAGGCCGGTCGCAGCGTCCCGACGTGCTGGGAATGTTCCCTTGCTTGCGACTGTGTGTTTATTGACAGCACAGGAATGGGGTAACCTAGGAAACACTAGAAAACCAAACTGAAAAACCGCCAGAATGGTCTGTGCAACCCCGGACCCGCTCCCACCATGACGTAACACCCCATTGGAGGGATACCATCCAAATTCCTCACAACGCGGGGCAGGCACGCTCGACGCGTCAACCGACGCCTGGCGATGAAATGGTCAAACAGCGCGCCCTCCGCAATAGAGTTGCTGTTCCCAATTTCACTTCTTTTGACGCAACTTGATGTCTCTAAGAAGCGAAAAAGTATCAACTAATGTCAGTCTCTTCATGTTATACAGTCAAAATCATTGGGAACCCCTCGGCGTCGCATTTTGCAACGGCGTTCTCCGCTCATACGCGAATCTTTCACGCCAGCACGTGTCACGGATGACGAGGCGGGGAGCGTTGGAATTTCTCAAAACCGCACCCAACCCTCTTCGATAACCTCCGTATCAGCCTCATACGCTCCCCCCCTGGTTTCAATTCAGTATCGACACAAGCCCAGAACTCGAACTGTTTGTGCGTGGTATTCGCAATTTGCAACGAACGCTTACATGAGAGCCTTTAACGTTCAAATGAAACTCTCGGAAGTGTCAGTGTCCGTTCACTTGTGGTGGTAAGGGTGGGTCTGCTGGGAAGCGGACGCTGTCTCTGTCTTGGCATGCCCCTGCTAAGTCCTAAATCTGAAATGGCAATGGCAATTTGCGACAAGAATTACAGAAAGTTCCACTTCTCGATGAGAGCGTCGATACCATTCCATCAATAACAGACACATGATCAAACGAATCAAACACCCCGCTCCTTGAACTGCCAGCTTCGAATCATTGTTCGGGCGTGCTGCCTATGGACCATTTGTTTCGAGAAAATCAGGGGTTCGACCCGACCGACGACCCCTCCTCATCTTTCGGTACTGTACGTAGTGACTGGGCATGCCTGCGCAATTGCGCCAGCACCTTGAAACGACAAATCTTCAACGAAGAGTCAAGTAGCTTCTCTTGAGGTTGCCATCGTAATCATTCTTTGATCGTTTCCAAGATACTTCACCTTTTGCGAGCATCCGTCCGCGACCTTTGTGTGGAAGCGCGCGCGTGTATATCCCGTGGCTTGCACTGTCACCATGGAGCGCACGCGATGGGTGAGGTATGGAACTCTCAAACGTGGTCGCTTCCGATGTGATGAGACACGCCTATCGAAGTCTGCCGCGCCTGACCCGTTGTAGAGGGAACAACGGCTTTGAATGCTTCTGATTCTCCTAACATAGTAGACATCGGTGCGGATGAAGAATCATAATGATAGGTGACCATGGATTGGACTTATCTCACTGTTTGCTCTCCCTTCGAGTGCCAGGTCTCGTCCGTGGTTAACTTCCCTTCTCTCCCGAGAACTTTTGCTTTGTGCTCTCGTCAGTTCAAACGGAAAGATTGTCTTTGGAGACAACGACGACGATGACCCTATCGCTTCGTGCTGGACATGGTGAATGCACATCGAAGTGGGCGCGAAACGCATCTTGTGAACTTGTGGTAAAATGCATTGTCAGCCGAGGACTCTCATTCGGGCGGTTTAATTTGGTGTCGGTCGTGGCCAGGAATTGCCTACCTCACTGCGGCTTCAAAAGCAGCAGTGATTGAACGGAAGCTTCTATGGTTGACTCGGAGCTCCCCAACACTGTTCTCGTGGTAGCGCAACGAGAAAACAGGAAGTGTTAAAAAGACTGACGCAGATAAATCTCGAACGCAGTGCTTCTCGGCCTTTTTTTTTTTTTTTTTTTTTTTTTTTTTTTTTTTTTTTTTGTTCCCAAGTGCCAGTACCTCACTTCCTTACGCACGCCTAGGGGTTTTACCTGTATAGGTAGAGTGTCTACTACAGTACGCTGCCCTAGAGGTATCCGAAGACGGCGATTCGGTTAAGTAACCTCAATTTTGTGTCAGTTTCCAGTCCTTCCAGCCTGTCCCAGTCACAATCGCAAAATGGGTTCATGGAAACCGACGCCATTTTCACCAACCTCCCTAATGGTTCATTGAGGGGGCCGACTCGCTGACAGCCGTTGGCATGAAAGCCCGTCGGAAGGAGACCGCAGGAAAACCTCCACCCTCCTAATGCAGGCCCGTCCACATTAATCATGCATAAGCTTCAACGGACAGCGAAGGCGTAGAACGACTCGATTAAATTGAAGACGCTCTCGATCCCCGCAAATGGGCGCGAGAAGCTCTGCAATGGCTGACGTGCGTACGTAGCGATCGATTTTCCTATTCGCGGTCACACAGTATGTATCGATAAGCGCATACGCTCACATACCGGTACCGTAGCCACGGAGGACGGAGTCGGAGACTTTGAGGTGATGAGCGTAGAGAACTCGGTAGTGGCCTCCCTAACATTTTGACCGGCTCTGACCTCCTCATCTCTAGATCTTATAATATCCGATGACGAGGTGGGAATGACCAAAGACAAGATATGTAACTCTTCACAAGATGATTCGGTGCAATTTGTAGATGGACCCCCCGGGTGTGCATCTGAAAAACCCTTTTTTTCTCTGCCAGCGCATCAAGGACACAGGCCAGTATCTAGTCTGTCCAGTCATGAGTTGCAACCAACAACCGAACCGACATCCTGACAGTTCCGGTCCGTTAGGATAGAAATACCGTAGGATGTAGATACCTACCTAGTATGTAGCTGGCTCATTGGCCCGGGGGTTTGATCGCAAGAGTGTTTGAGTTTTGGAGGTGAACACCCGTGAGGCAGACACTGTGCTGCAACAAGTATGAACCTGGACGGAGCCAACTCGATCGAAAAGCCAAGCCGCCATGCCACTGCACCGTCGATGCGGGAGTGTTCCGAGTCCTGGCTTTTACACTTATATAGAATTGGGCATTTGTCACTCGTCGCCAACCGTTTCTGATAGTCAATGGACTCTTGGATCCTAGATTTTGCTAGGATGTTTTTCATCACGAGCTTCATGGATACGTCAATACCAGTTCGTCAAGCTGTCTTACAGACCCCTCACAGTTGCGTTCGAGAATGCGTCGAGCGTCCGGCGAGAGTTCGGCACCAGAAATACCCTGGAGAGCGACAAATTCGCCCACCTTCCATCCGATGGACGGCATGTCATACGAATTCACCTGACGGCGAGCGAAATGGCTCCATTTGTCCAGGGCACTGCATCCAATCTGCCATTGCCTCGAGCTCCACCAGCACTTGCCTGGTCCACTGAGAGTATGCAAAGCGTGCTCGGCGTTGCGGGAAGATCCAGAATGGTTCGCACAAGAAAGAGGGGAACGTGAAAGGTCGAGAGCGTCTGGAGAGCGAGATCAAATCTGGGAAATTTGGCGCAGACTGAGCGCCAGGCGAAGCGCACGCAGGCGATCGATAATCGAGCTTCTAGTCGTTCTTTAGCCAGTATACTTATGGAGCTATGGTAGCTGAGGCTTTCCCATTGCGCGGGGAATGCATTCGAGTGTTGGATTCGGGCAGTATCACAGTATTGCTTGGGTTGCCCGAAGTTGATCGCCCCAAAAGGGAACAAAAGCGAACGTTCCAAACCGTTTACAAAGGTCGCGGCACAACCCTGGCGATGGATGTCCAGGTTACGACAGTGAAAAAGCACGGCAACGAGTATCGATTCAAGTCGACCTCCCTAATACAACAAACCCCCATTCTGCAAACACGGGCATGCGGATTGACTGACGCTCGCCAGCCCCAGTTTCAGGAAGTGAGGCGCCAGTAAATACACATCAGCCTTTGAATGCAAAGCTTCCTGTCGTCTCTCACAATGCCCGGATTAGTTACAGTATCGGCGACAGAAAAGTGGAAGAGGGGGGAAGGGGTGTGTGCGGGCGGTCCACCGTATAAGACCTGCAGTGAGACGGGCAACCATACCCCTGTTTTTGACATGGCACAGCTAGCCCTGACGCTATTGGCTCGTCGCTGTCTGGAACGCTCGCGACGGTTGTCTGGAGGCTCGTCGACATGGCTATCTGGCGCATCCTCATCCAGTGGCTTTTGGTGGCCACCTGCGCTTGACGCACGCGAGGGTTGGTTTGGTAAAAAGGTAACGAATGCCCACTCCCAACAGTAAAGCGAAACGACCAGCTCTTCATCAGCATTCAGACACAACGGAACCCGGCGGCGCGGCGGGGTGTCCGAGCATGGAACCGTTGTGATTGTATCTCCGCCTGCCGTCATCACTGGGCCTGGCGGGAGGTTTCTCATATAAAGGTATCTTTCCATCACCGCTTGTCGCGCACGTTAGCCCTGTCAAACGGCTGAAATTTTCAGTCCACCTACTTTTGCCGCGAACCGTAGGCCTCGGAGGCAGAATTGGGAATGAACGAAGCTATCGCGGGATTCATGGTCGGAGAACTAGGTGGTGCGTCCAGGCCCAAGTCATGTTCAACTTTCATCCCCAGACGGTACCCTACCATCTCACATACCACGCCGCAGGGGTCTCCATGATATTTGAACTCGGAGAACTACTACACTACGTCGATCTCGCGACACATGATAAGGTATTTGATCTCAACTTCCAGCTGGCCCCATAGAGATGCGGAGATATAGGTATACCTCTACGTATTCTTCGGTCAAACAGTATCTCGAGGGGCTTCTGGTCGGCGAAATATGCTCGCAATGAGTCGTATGTTCCGCGTCTTCATCTGGGCTTCTTCGGATCTTATCTGAGTTACTACGAATCAAAAGGCGACGGTAACCTGTCCCGGTCATTGTAGCTCGGTAAGAGGAGGTTTGGTAGGTGTTGTATGATTCCAACTTGTACACTATCATGCCATCTCCCAGAAATGGGAGCGTACTGTTAGTGCTTTCATTTGTCTCGTAAAAAAAGAGCTGCACCACCAGAATGGAAATAGAAGGTGAGATGGGGCCGCGGTCCACACCTTCCGCCAGCTCCACGCTGTCGCAATTCCATGCTCGCAAAAGAGTCAATGCGATGCGCATGCGCAACCAACCTCTAGGTAGGCAGCGCACCTACGGACTTGGAAACTCTGAGATAACCTAGATAGCCCTCAGATATCATGGAAAGACTCTCTTAAAGTCCGTCGCATGCCGAGAATGAGGCATGGCCGGCATATTTGTAAATACCTTATCCTAGAGATGCACATCCGTCATGGAAGTGGCGGACAGGATTTGGCGCTGTAGAAATCGGTCTGCGGGGCCCATTGCTGGGGCAAAACGCCTATGGACTGCTGAATTTGGGCAGTGAGACAGGCTGGCAGAGCACTGTGCTAGGCCCGGTGCAGTGGTGAAGGGGGGTTGCGATTCCAGCAAGTAATCTGACGAGTACAGGCAGTGCAGATTCGGTTTCTTGCGAACCGGACATGCGTGCTAGGTTTGTGTCGACCAAACCTCCTCCTCCATTCTCCTCCCAGCACATAAGCGGATTTCCCCCGGTCGCCCTACTACTTCTATCTCTCACCTCCCTCCGTCGGCCCCGTCAACGCTTTCTATCCGTCTCTTTCCTAGTACGTCGCCCAGATCAAGCTCTCGTTTTCCTAAGTCATCTTCGACTCGAGTCCGCTTCTCGCCCTACCTCGTCCCTGATCTTTCAATTTGCTGCTGGAGCTCCGGTCGCTCACGATTGCAAGCTTCGCCCAGATTCGCCCGACATTGCGTGCGCGCGAGTCGAGATCGAAGCCACCGGTCGACCATCACCACCACCACCACCAGCCTAACTGTACATTCTGGTGAGTATTTTCAGTTCTTAAGCGTCATGCGATCATTCGGACAATGCAATGGTTCCCTCCCCCTCCGGTTGTTTGGCACACTTGGCCTGCATGTCTGCGTCGGTCGTCGGCGCGGCGAATCGTAGGCCCTTAACTACCGGGCTTGCGCTCATCGTTCTCTTCCCCCTTCTTCCGTCCAACTCTTTCCCCGATCTCTACCTCCCATTCATTTGACCAACTCCGACTCTCCTTTGCAGCCCAGTATCGCTCTCAGTTCATATCAACCTAACCGCAATCAGGTCATCGCAGACCCACGAGCCAAACACATCTCGCAACCTCCGCATCAATGGCGACCGCCTACGGGTCCAACAGCTGCAATGTGTCGCCGCGGACGACGAGCACGACACCCAAAGCCAAAGTCGTTACATTTGTTCTCCATGAAGCCCGTATACCGCTCCGGGTCGCAATCTATCCGCACGATGCGACGGAATCCATCATTACCACTGTCAAGAATTTTTATGGTTTATACTACAAGGAGCGCGCGGGAATCAGCTTCGAGGACGAGCGCGGAAACACCATGATTGCCCGATACGAAAACTTTGTCGACCACCAGTCCGTCAACGTCCGCATCATCGAGAACCCCCGCGGGCTATCACCGAGCTACAACAATGCCGATGACGAAGAGAACAACCAGCACGCCTCCAGACCCACTCTGCGAACATCACGATTCCGCAGTCCCTCTCCCAATGGTAGCCGAGGGCGTCGCAGTACTTCGACTGCCATTGCCGGAAAAAAAGGGCGATCTCGGTCTTCCAAGACTACGCACGGTGACCACGGCGACAGCGTCAATGGTTACAGCAGTGGAGATGGGGCATCGGGCTCGGCGTCAGGAAAGAACAAGGAGCCTCTCGGAAACACCGACATTAGTGTGGAAAATATCGTCGAAGGAGGACGGCGGAAGCGCGCCAAGTTGTTCGAGAGTTCGGTAGGTTCTGCATGGCTCTAGAGTCCACCAAGTATCGTCATGTACTGACACCCCTTGTCCCAGGAATTGCCGCTTTTTGCTCCTCCACAGATGCCAGCGGCCACTTCCAATCATTCGTTTTCCCCCATCAGACACAATGACTTCCACCGATACCCTCTACCTTTCAGCAATGCCACACAAAACCCCTTCAGCAATCCCCGGCCTCTACAAACTCCGCCGAACTATCATAACCACTATGCGGCTTCTAGTACGTATGCGACGCCGGCCATTGACGACCGTCGCGCCCGTGGTAGCATTAGCAATGATGGCTCGGGTGTTGCCACCGGAATAAGGACGATGCTCACACCCGATCCCACTGTGAGAAGCTGTGTGTCTGAAGAAGATAAGGATATCAAGGACGTCGCCATGCAGCTCATGCGGTTGCAAGGCGATTGGAACGTACATGGCCGATCATCAGGCTCAACGCTGGATGATACGTTCAGCGGTAGGGCAGATGCTTCTTGCTCCACCGGTACGACAAGCGATTGTGAGAGTGAAAGCGAAGACGAGATGCCGCTTGCGCGTGCGAAGACGGACGAATTCGGGAAACATAATGTCTTCCAGACAACGGAAAGCCACTTTGCGGTTCCGCAAGATGGTGCTGAGGTGAGCGGCGATGACGCGGACTACGAGGATGGAGATGGCGCAGAGGAGGGCGCGATGGCCGCCCCCAAACTCTTGAAGAATCCAAAACCCAGATCCGCCTCTCTAAACGGCTCCAGGGCACGCTCACAGTCAACCGGCAAGCCCAAGGCAATCAAGGCCACCAAGCCTAAAAGCAAGAAGACTTCGGCAAACCCAGTCCCTATGACGCCCGCATCCATGCCTGCCTCCCGCAAGCAGTCGATCGTGTCAACTTCAACCTACTCTGCGGCCCTTGGAGAGGAGGAACAGCCGGATCTCTCCACTAAGCCACGCTGCCAACGGTGTCGCAAGAGCAAGAAGGGGTGCGACAGGCAACGACCTTGTGGCAGATGCAAGGATGCCGGCATTCCCGCCGAACAATGCATTAGCGAGGACGAGGGTAATGGCCGGAAGGGCCGCTACGGTCGTCACATGGGTGTTCCCGTTCCGGTGAACAAGGAGGAAGTGTCGGCTCCGGCAACGTTGCTGCCGGCTGCCCTAATCGCCCCTGCGGGGGGTCTGGGCTCGGTCCCAAATTCATCGGCACTCGATAAGAGCAAGAAGCGCAAGAGGTGAAGTCGCTAATGATGGCCTGACTACGGGTCTGCTTCATCATCCACGAGTTTAGTTTCCTCTTCAGTGTCTCCTTTTATCTCTCTGAGCCCCCGATTCTTTTTGTCCCAAAGGTTTTCTGTGCAGCGCGGTAAAAGTCAAATTCGTCTATCTACCCATCTTATTTTACCATATCCTATTTGTTGCGTGTCGGTCTGCGATCAGCCGTTGAGCACTTCTGGCTTCAGTCGAGTTTGTTCTTGTTTGAGACTGTCTGGTTTTCGTAATGGGAAGCTGTGCTTGATGTGATGTCAATGGCGCACAACTGGTGCGTGGTTTCCTTTTTGGGTACTTTCGTTTTACTTGCACTAGTGCCGATGAGAGTGAACCCCTTTGACGGAGTGAAAAGAGATGGCCGAAATATGACGGACTAGGTGATAGTTCCCTTTTTTTCCTTTTTGGTAGGAGGAGGAGGAGGAGGAGAAGGGGGGGAGGGGGGAAGATGCTCGGTTCGAACCAGACTGTCATACGTTTCTGCAGCACTTCTATGGTACATCCTTGTCGCATGTTTCAGCAATGCGGGCAAGCTGAGGGCGTAACGATAGCAGGAAGCTGACGTGTTCTGGTCTGGCAGCCAGTGAGATCGAGCAGTTGAAGGATCGTTTTACTTATTCTATCTCTACCGTCGAAAATGTTTCTGTTCTAGTCATGCGCACGAACCGGGGACGAAGTGTGGCAGGAAGCCAAAGAGATCGGGAAGTAGAAAGCACAAGGCGGTTGTTCGAATTTCCAATTAGTCTTTACCAGCGAGAATGTTTGCAAGCAGTGTACCTTACCAAATACTGCTCTAGCAGTTTGCCCGTGTCCTTGCCCAGACACGAGAGATCAAGAGCAGCATTAAATTTACCCCAAGCGGTGATGACGATCACGTTGAAGAATCCAGCACCAGCTGTCACCTAGACGTAGATGATCAAATCCTTGTAAGCGCAAGTAGCGTTAACGTTTCTCTGTACGTGCTCGCAAAGCGGTGAACTGGGGACTGCGAAGTTCACACCAGCGACTCTACTGTCATTTCTGAACTCTGGAGGTGCGTGATACCTGCCCTTGAGGAGCTTGGGTGAAGCGAAGCCATGTACAGCAAACACAACTGATCAATATGCCCCTCGAATCTTGAACTTTGGCTCATCTTCAAGTCCTCATGGCTTTGATCAGCCACTTCCACATTCTTGCGCGCAGAAAACTGCACTTTCTGTGTGTCAAGTCTAATGAATGAACGTCATCAACCCCGGATCACGATAAGTGCTCGCAAGGTCTCCACTTCACCAAAATACGCGCAAGCCACCTTTTGCGTCATCATCACCATTGTATTCTTTTCGTTTTCGTTATCATTCCTAATCGTCGCTAATACCCGCTATGCGCGCGACGCCGGAAGAAAAAGAAAAAGGAAAAAGAAAGAAGCAATCAGACTCGTTCAAGCTCCGCTCTCCAAATCTCAATTGTTAACCACGCATGGCCATTCTCAGCTTCAAAAAGTTCTTACGAAACCCTGACCGCAGACCGTCCGATATCAAAAGCGGTGTCTGAACAAGCTTTTAAGCTAGTCTTTATCCAGACTAGTGTAAAACCAGGTAGGTGGGGCTAAAGACAGTGGAATTCTGACGGTCCTATTGGTCCAACCAGACAGAGTCAAGGTAAGAACAACAACATTTATACATATCGTACAAAACTTGACACCACTTTGTACAGCGGGCAGCAACGAACCATACATATGCTATTCACAGTAGGATTCACATTGCTACCTAAAGTAGCCATTCTCGAAGTGGTGGAAGTGCTCCCTGCAAGTCCCTCGCTACAGTAACCAACTGTCCAAGGGTGATTTGTACACGGGCACTAACTACCTCTAAGCTGCAAAGCCAGAGTTCCAAAGAGGACTCGGAGGAGTCGATCACTTTTTGCGGGGTTACTACGCACTGTCAGGCCTGGTAGCCGCCTGTCTGGGCGCGCACTGTGGCACATGGACTGTGCGGGCTGACTACACTAAGTTAGCTTGGTGATCCAAAATTTGACGGCCGCCTTCCCTTTTCGATCATCGAAAGACGCATATGCGAGACATGATTGGTTTGATCAAGGCTACCCCACCTTTGCTATGTATTCGTAGATGTTGGTATGATTGACTCGTTGCGCAAGTCAAGCAGAACACTGAGCTGAGCAGAGCCAGTAGTTCCACGATGTAGGGACGAACTTGAACATGATTCGTTCGAAACGCTAGAGACGGGGGGGCCTAGGCTCGTGCGTTCGATGCGAGCGGGATAGAGGAACAGGGCAAACGTGGGGAAAGCTTTGGTGGAGGTTGTTGGTATGTAGTGTGCATATCATTCCACGTAAGATCGATGCAATTGGTTCTGGTATCATGTAAACCCCCCACGATAGCAAGTCCCGTACAATTTCTCATTCTTGCTTTAGATCTCGAGGAGTTAATGATAGGGATCGCCCATGATGCAGATACAATTTGAAAGGATGTACAAGAGGTTCGTTGACGATTAAAATTAGTTTTGAAAGCAAAGGTCTACTAGTAGATCTGATCCGACTCATTACGCCAAGCCTTTTAGTACCCGCCTGGGGTATCCTGGCCTTGGCGTACGCGATTTGTTTCCGACCAGACGAACGAAGCCAGCAAACATTTCATAAAGTGGTATGTATTGACACAACATTTTCTTCACATGAACTCATCGACCGAAGACAAATAAACGAACGACATCAATCGGTATCTAGACCACGAAAGCGGGCATGAGAAATCGCGGCATAATACACCGATCACCTTATCACCATTCAAGGGGGCATCCGGCCATCGGCGGTTGGTTTCCCGATCTAGAGACCACCCGCCAATTGTTTCTCTAGGCTGGAACCAACATCACCAGATTAAAATTGAAGCAATTTTAGCTCTTTTACTTGCAATGAAACAACCGAAACTTCTCGGTACATATGACAACCACAAAAGGTGCTCACGTCCGAGTTATTTCTTGGTACCAGTTGAAGCGGAACGGCACCACCGGATAGTAAACACCATTCAAGTTCAAAGCCCGGATGTCGAAAGGCTCAGATACACGGGAACACAACGAATACGTGCCAACTCTAAAGTAATTGCGCTTGTCATCATGTCTACAAAGAAGGGGAACATCTGCCCATACCCTGCGCTTTCCTACACGTACTTGGTCTCCCACAGGCTCCCGGAAATTTCCACCCAGTCTAGACCACACGCCTTTCAGATGGAGGTATTCAGGAGAGAGCGTCGAGGGTATACTGTCCTATCTTGAGCCTCGACCTGGGGGGGGGGGGGGGGGGGGGGGGTCACGTATGTATGATAGCCGGGAACACTATGCTTCAGAGCCCAATCCCTATCACCAACACTACCAAGACGACCGACGATTTCTCCATGCCGAAGTACAAGGTTACTACCGATAGCGGAGGTATGAAGTAGATGCCCAGCCCGAACCACGTGCAAACCCCTTCGGCCAGGGAGATCTGCGAATACTTGTTGCTCTCGCGGGGCTCGCCGCCGCGGCCGCACAGGCTCGTTATAAAGGTGCCAAAAACCACCGTCCCGCACCCAAAGGTCATGGTCCACTTGATGTGCCCCGCGTCAGCCCGCCGGCCGGAGAGCGAGGAAGGTCCGGGCCGAGCCGATCCACGAGACTTGGGATGAGGGCAGCTCGCATCGTGTCGATGTAATAGAGCTGGTAAACGTCAAAGGCGGACGGGCAGCCCCAGACGAGCATGTTGGCGAGGATGGCGACGAGGACTTGCATACAGGCCAGGAGATCGCCGTCGGGACAGTCGGAGGAGTCTTCTTTCTTCTCAATTTTGCTCGAAACGAAGGAGAAGGACGATGATGTGGGGGGAGGGCTAATGAGCATCACTCTTTGCCAGGGACGGTACATCCATAGCTGATCGATGGTGAGAAGCGAAAGTATGGCTGTTGTCGTTGCTGATCGGTAGTGTTTGAGAGTGTTCAGCTGTTTTTGACGACATGTTCATTGATCGTAGACGGGAAATAGTGAGTACCTCTCGCCCAGGAATGATGATGACTTATTTTGCTCTTGCTAATTTCTGGTAGAGATTATTCTGTTTACAGTTCTTACCCCGTGAGGAATCTGGAAGTCGGGAAGGAGCGAATGAGCGAGGGAAGGGAGAAAAATTCAAGCGGAAGTACAGAGATTCCTCGTTGCGTTCAAAGCATTCGGACTGACTGAGGCAGAACAACGGGTCCACATGTATACTATCGTCCGTTTCGGCTGCAGCATGCATTCATTGATTGCAACTAGAAGACACCTCTACAATCACGCAAATTCGTACGACCTGACCATATCCGGCTTTGTCCTGTTGTCATACACTTCGCCGACTCAGGCCGTCCGTCCGTCCCGGTATTGCGGACCGTTATTAGTCTACATTCAGTTCAAGTTCCCGTCGAGTGAATTTAACCACCTAGTGCTCTTCCCGGTCCGGGCTGTAGTGTAGCGGTTCCGTGTATTCAACGAGAGCGCAGCCGTGTGCATTAGCAATCACACGATCTATATCGTGAAGATGCCGGTGACGGTTGAAACGATGAACGGCCTGTGTCGCCGCCAGGCTGCCTGCTCCCCCCCTTCGAGCAAATGCCCAGAACGATAAAGAGGCTGTATGGGACATAGCGATTCCGTGAAACATGCAAGTAATCTAATAGCACCTTCATATGCAAATTCTGTAGTCTAGTGCTCAATGGGTATCAAATTGTTTCCTATCAGTTTTCGCTGTCACCCCCCATCTCCGGAGGTAATGCAATGTAATGGACTCCATCTACCACTAGTCCCGCTCACTGCTCCCCATCGACAATGACGAGCTCGCTCGGATCAACAACCCATTCTTCTTCATCTCCGAATGTGTGGGCCAAGACAAAGGAGCCCTGGATTCTACCCATGCCGTAGGCGGCTCCCGTGTACTGGTCTTGGGTAGGCTTTACGTCGTCCTCCTTGATGATTACCGCCGTCGACAAGAAATTGGCCTGGATGCCCAACCCCATCTGTAGAGGGACGCCACCCCAGCTGACTTCAACCTTGCCAGACTTTCGCACAACCAGCTGCCCGACATAGCCGCCTTCGCGTGTCATATCTTCTTGCTCTGTGTCCGCATCTGCCTCCTCTCCGTTCTCCTTCTTAACCTTGCTCGCCTCCTCCGATGTCAAGTCGATCCGAGAGGACGACTTTGGCATCGCCGGCTGATCCAGCATCATAACATCGTCATTTTCCGGTTCCGGCTTGACCTTGGGAGCTGGCGCTGCGCTTTTGAGCGGCGGGAGCACGACGGGAAGCTGGAAGAGGAACATGTGCCCTTCGAGCTCAGTGCCGTGGTTGAAGAGCTCGACCAAACGCTCCCGGTCTTGCTGGGCAAAATCTGCCTCTGTTTCCTTGGGCTTCTTAGGCTTCTTCTCCTTCGGCTTTTCTGCTTCCTTTGTAGTGGCCATAACCTTCTTCTTGAGCTCCGGCGACTCGGGAGTCTTGATGACTCCTTCTGGGATGCTCTCCATATTGACGTCCTCCATCTCACCGCCCTCCTTCTTGATGATGGTCCTTGGTACCGCAGTGTCAACCGCTCCTTCATCCTTGATCTGTACTGGTCCTTCTCCGTTGTCGACGAAGAGATCGGAGCTATTGTCGTCGTCGTTGTCGTTATCGCCAGCGGCCACATCGACGCCGGCGTCTTGAGCTTCGATTTCCGCAGCGGTCGCCATAACAACCTCCTCTTCCTCATGCTCGAATCTCCTGATACCCATGGGCATAGGAGCTCTCTTCTTCTTTGTCCGGACCAGACCGTTCTCGAGCTTCTCCTCCTCATCTTCGAGGCTAAGACTGTAAAGCATGTCGGCGTTGATTCTGTTCGCATCGAAGCCGTTAGATGTCCCGAAACCATCCGCGCCGCCTCCATCAAAACCAGAAGAGCCTCCTCCGTCTGCGAAAGACTGTTAGTGACGGACAGTATCAAAGTCAGATTAGCCACTACGACTTACAACCCATGCCTCCTGACAAGGGGCCGGCAGCACTTGCGGTGCGACCTCCCCTCATAAGAAAGTTACCTCGCCCGCGCCCACGTCCACCGCCTCTTCCGCGCCCGCGGTTCGCCCGGGCTAATCGCCTGCTCTCTTGTTCATTTCGGATGTCCTGTAACCTCTGCTGTTCTTCTGCAATGCGCTGTCTCTCTGCCTCGCCTCTTCTAACAGCCTTTGGTTTGAACTTCAGGCCCGGCTTGGCGGCCGATGAAGCTACTGGGGTCGCCGCTGACGATGTTGATGTCGAGGGTGCTGCTGAAGCCGGCGCGGGCGTGGCTACTGGGGTGGCTGATGATCCTGAGGCGGGTGTCTCCGCGGCGGCCGCAGGGCGGCGGCCGCCGCGCGGCGCCAAGCGTCCTCTACTCGGGGGCTGTGACATAGCTTGGGTGACCGTGATTTAATTCGGATGTGTGTTTCGTAGTATGGTCGCTGAGATGTGATTTATGCGAAATGCTGGATAAACGCGGCAATTGCCGATGCCGGTTGCGTTGTGAATAGGAATGCGGTGAAATGATAGTATTCGTTTCCGTGTAATATGTAGTGCTCGACGATGAGTTGGATGCTTGGTTAAATAATCGGAAGTGAAATTGCCAATCGTGACGGTTCACGGAATGGATGGTTGGCGACGAACAGGAACGGGAAGTGATTTGAGGCGCTGCGGGGCAGTTTCGGAACCAGAAAAAAAAATGGATTTAATTGATAAGCAGTGCAGCCTGGTGCCGATAAGAACACGTTATTGCTATCGGAACAACCTATACCAGCACGTTGACCCGTTTTTGGCGGTTGTGTTACACAGTGAACTTCCGTACAGCGACTTAGCTGCATGGTCCAAATAGCAGGGCTAATTGCAACGGCGCAAGTCATCCGTTATCAATAACACGCTGATTACCAGTGTACACTCACTAGGTAGAGCTTCCGAGAGCGGACAAGCAGTTGTTGCTTTTAACAACCTTAGTATGGATCTCACCTTCTTCGAATACCCAAAATGAGGTGACGCTATTGCGCATTGTCTCACCACCATGAACTCGCCATTTCCCAAATCCTCGTCGGCAGCGGGCGAGGGCAAGATTATCGCCCGGCTTCAACCTGATGGAGTCTCTGGCTTGGAGACCATCACCTACCAGTATCCACTCAAGCTCATCTCCCCATCAAAGCCGGCCGAGAACAAGAGCGTTCTGGTGTTCTTACTTTCCTACGGCGGTGGTCTGGTTGGTGGTGACCAGGTCAACCTCTCAATCCAGGTCCATCCACAAGCAAAGTTGACCATTGTCACCCAGGGCCATACCAAGGTCTTCACCTCTACGAAAACCGATGTTGTGACGCGCCAGACAATGCGCGCACAAGTAGCATCAGGCGGTGCTCTTTGTCTCTTACCGGATCCCGTCCAGCCGTTCGCGGGTAGTGTTTACGAGCAGACGCAAATCTTCGAGCTGGCCAAGGATGCCTCGCTCTGTCTCTTGGACTGGGTCACTCAGGGGCGGTCGGCTCGTGGAGAGGACTGGAGCTTTGTTCGATGGCTCGGTCGCAACGAGGTGTGGACGCTGCCGGGAGGCGATGATAGCGGCGCTCGGCTTCTTGTGCGAGACTCCCTTCTCCTGGACAGTGCACAGGCGCACCCACAGATGAAGACATTGCGTGAGTCGATGCATGCAATAGGCATTATGGGTACGCTTATCTTGCGAGGGCCGAAAATGAAGTCCCTGGGCGAATTCTTCTTAGCCGAATTCACTGCTTTGCCGCGGATTGGAGCGCGAGACTGGCGGAGTGAGGATGCGAAGAAGGCGGAGGTCATCCAGGGTCTGTCGACGGCGGAGACGTGGCGGCGTGACAGACTCAAGATGGAGAAGGAGAGTGGTCTGCTTTGGTCCGCTGCTCTTGTCAGGGGCTGTGTGGTGGTTAAGTTTGGTGCTCCAGAGGTTGAAGCTGGGAGAACATGGATAGGATCGATGCTTGTGCAGGAGGGGAGCATCGGTGAGATCTTTGGAGACCATGCACTATTATGTGTTAGATGAATGTGAGGAGATGTATATTCTGCGTTTCAAATTCGTATCTGAAGTTTGGTACCACCATTCAGCATATGCTATAACGGTCGGCGACAGGCACTATTAATATATGTTGTCTTGAACACAAAGACGCAAGGGGAAAGCAAGTATCACACTTGAATCCCTGTGAGTATCTGGAGGAAGGGGGATGAAGCCAGTAAGATGAGAAAAGAACGTGGCCTTCATTCTGTGTGAAGGGGCTCAGGGTTGTTGTACGATGAAGTTGGCACGAGCAGTGAATAACCATAGGTACGCATTGATATGATATGATGTCTTCACAATGAACCGCTCGAGTTCCATCCATGTATGGACAATGAAGGGCCCAATCGCATTCTGCACGGTCGATTGTACCTGCATGTTCAAGAGAACCGTTTGCAAGGACATTGTTGGTTGCAGCGGCTAGAAACACTGTCACCTGCTGAATCGCCCCTGAAGAGGGTGGCGCTGAGATTCCATTCTATGGGAGAGTCTACATAGTAGTTAGGGAAATACATATCAGCTCTCCTAACGAAGTAACATTCGCAACCGGTGGCCAGCTGTGTATTTGTAACAAAGCGCAGTATCTCAGACTGACTGCAAATGGAAATTCTCGAACCCATACATGTGAACCGTTAAAGCGCAACTACATAGTAACCGAGACAGACATATTTCAAAACGGAGCTTGCAAGATGGAAAGTGGTGCCTAGTATTGCAGTAGACAGCTTATTCATCAGCCAAGGAAGGGACTGGAAGGTCAGGTCAGCGACTCAGCGTACATTGTAGCACCGGAACTGAAGTGTTGACAAGCTGGAAT